TTTCTATTCACACACCCAATTAGGCCCAATTAATTAATCTAGCAATTATATATTATTCTACCCAATATAATATATCAAATAAATTAAATCAACTATTACAAATATGTCCAATAAATCAATTAATTCAAACAACTCAAATAAATCAAATAATTTATATAAATCTAATAAATCAATTAATTCATATAAATCAAATATTTCATATAAATTCAATAAATCTACTAATTCAAATATATCAAGTAAATCAATTAATTTAATTAATTCAAATAAATCACATAAATTAGTTAATTCAATTAAGCACAAAATCATACAATTTTAATCAATTTAATTTAATTAAATAAATAATTACTATAAATTGGGGTGTTACAGATGGCTTCAAGGAAAGCATCGGTCTTTGGGTGTCGGCGAGAGGCCGTGAAGTGTCTAGAGAATATTCTCCCCAATTGCCTCCATTATGTGATGGAATCGTCAGGGAGTCTTTTGTACCAGGTCATCGCTCCCTTCCGGAGCATGGTCGGGAACAACCTATATTTGGTGGTGCCCTAGATGCCGCGGTAATTGAGTAACACATCGATATTTTTAATGTGCTCGTCAAGGTCCGCAGTACCGTCGTATGTGCCCAGAGAAAGGGGTTTCTCCAGTCCCTTCGGTAAGTGCATGACCATAATCTCTTGGGACAACGGGCCGCGAGGCTCGTCGTCGCTGCTGTTGCTGGACCATAACGGGGAGCGGGTGTCCCGTCAATAGGTAGGATGGTGATCTCGATGAAGAGATGAGGTTCGTGCTCGACCCTTGGATCTAGACAAAGGTGAACACTGAGATTATGCTCGTTGATCCCTTCTGGTGCTCTTAGATCACGGGGAATGTTGGTTCTTGGGAGAGATTTGGTCGCGCTTTTTGGCAATCTGGGTTTCTGGCTCTGGAGGTGCCCGATAGTTTCTTTCGCGCCGGGGAGGGGGACTCAGTGATCTCTGACGCTCTTTCCTTGAAGGAGGGGATCTTGGACGACTTGAATCTTCTAGGGATCCAATCCTCGCGTTCTGATGGAGGATTAGGAGGTTGATCTTGTTGAGAGCCTTGAGGAGGGCCGCCATGTCCGGGTCGGTGCTGGGCGGAACTGAAACTGACAGGTGCTTCAGGATGAGTTGGACTTCATTGTGATAAGCACGAACGGGAGAGGGAGAAGCCGTGGCTCCGTCCCTTTGTTGGTGGGCATCGTCCCTAAGAGAGGTGGTTGCTCCGTCAGCATATGTCTTGCTGACAGGGAGGAAGGCAAAGTTGCAAGCATCATTGGTGTTGTCACGGCTAGCCATGATCGGAGTTTGGAAGAACTGTTTTGGTCTCGAATCTACGATAGAAGAAAGACGGGGATAACAGAATTCCCACAAACGGTGCCACTAATCTTGACGGCTGATCAGAACCTGAGGTAGGCCAAAGACAATCGTCTGTGATGTTGGGTGTAAGAGAGAAGGAGGGGTGTACCTGCAAGGCACTCTGATGCTGAAGTAAGAATCGGGAGAAAGAAGGCAAGTACATAATAGGTGTATATCATGGTGAATATTGAATACTTGACCCTCTTAAATGAGAGGGTTTTTATAGTGCCCCCAATGCTTGGCTATTGGTCCCTATTTTCGGGGCGAGATAACTGTTTCCCGAAGAATAGGTGATTGCCATAAACTAGCCGTTAGGACAGGCAGAGGTGCCCATAAATAGTCGTTGCTACAGGCAGAGGCGCAGTAACGGGAATAAGCGTCGTGACTTTTTCTGGATGGTGAGACCGTGCGTGACGGGTAAGGACTGACGAGGAGAAGTGCTAGCCCAGGGGTAAACTGGTCAACCTCCCCTGGTGGAGGGGTAGAAAGGTAAATGCTTCCCCAATTTGGTTGGACTTAGGCAATTGGGCCGTTCTGGGAGCAGAAGTGGATTGGGTTGCCTAGCCATTGGGCCAGTCTGGAACTCAATACTCAAAATTGCACATACACTTTCATACAAAAATCACTCATCAATATAACACGAACTTCACATCATATCACAATAATCAAGAGAGGTTTTGCACAAACCATTTCAAGATTCAACAATCTCATTAATAAAAGAATATAGAAAAAAAAGAGAAAGAGGATAAGGAATTATCTCCATTCTTTATACTTAAACACCCATATCATGAACAGTTCCGCTTACCTTGAATTTGCAGCAAAGGTCGAAGCTTTAGCTATGGAGATTTTCTCTTCTCCTTACAAAAGCTCTTATAAGATTTCTCTTCTTTTTCTTCTTTTCACCAAAAACATGTACTAATCAAACTCTCTCTCAATTTTTCTATTTAAATAAATAGAACCTAATTCTCTTTTATTTTAATTAATTTTTGAAAACCCGTCTCAACTCTCACTAATTCCACTCGCCTATCAATTTTATTAAAAACTCAATTTTTTTTCAAAGCACAAAATCTCATTTTTATCTGTTATTTTAAATAAAAAAATTATAATAATTACTACCCACACTCATAAAAATAATTAAATAACTAAAAAAACACTCCAAAACTCAATTAAAATTAAATTAATTAAAAACAAGGCGTTACAACGAGCATTTACCCCATACAGAACTTGTGTTAGTAGAAATAGAATATTCTATCAACTACTTTGGATGTATGAACCATACATTAAATGTTTTGCATTATGTAAACCTATTATTCAAATTGGTGGAGTATGGTTGTATGAGAAATATAAATGAGTGTTACTTAGGAAAGTGGTACAAGATGACAACAATAATATTTTTCTAATTGCCTTCGCCATGGTTGAAGGTGAAACTGCTGGTGAATGGATTTCTTTCTCAAGAATCTCTGATTACACGTTGCTCCACACCATCTATTGATAGTGTATACAATAACCTTGATAACGGTTGGCAAGATCCTCATTTTACACATGTCTACTGCGTTAGACATATCACACAAAACTTAATGCAGGAGATTAAAGACAAGTCGTTTTAGAAAAAAGTTATGAATGCAAGATATGCATTAACAGAACAATCGTTCCAACACTACCGCAAAAAGATCAGATTGACAAATGCGGGTGCATTAAGGTGGATCGATAATATTCCAGTGTGAAGTGGAATTGGGCATTTGACAATGGTCAACGATGGGATCACATGACAACAAATCTTGTGGAATCAATGAACTACGACTTCAAAGGCATCAAAAACCTACCAATAACCGCGTTGGTGAGAGCGACCTATTTAAGATTAGGGTCACTGCTCGAGACCATAGGTTCAAAATAGAGGTCAGTGTTACAATTGTGGCAGTTGTTAAGTGAAAGTTATATGAAATTTATTAAGGAGGAAACTGCCAAAGCTAAACACATGTCGTTACAATGTTTGACTATCGTAGAGGTTGGTTTAGTGTACGAGAGATAATGTACCATAACGAGAGGAGGCCAAGAGGATATTATCGGGTTGAACTAGACATAGGATGATGCGATTGCAGAAAGTTTCAAGCCTTATGTATGCCTTGCACGCATCTTATAGCAACATGTTCATATGTTCGCTAGGACCCTTCCAACCAACTATCTACCATTTACGATGTCATAAACTTATTTAATGTATACAACAATAGCTTCTTGGTGGTAGCAAATGAGTATTATTGGCCTACATATCAAGGAGACATAGTTTGACACAACGAAAATACGTGAAGGAAGAAAAAGACCGCCCTAACAGCACATGTATTCGAACTAAAATGGATAGGACTAACAAAATAGTAAGATTATGTAGTATATGACGTCATCCCAGACACAATCATAAACTCATCCCAATGTTGGAGCAAGTTCCACAACTTAATCATTGTATGCACTCTTAGTTTTTTTCATAACCATAAAATTTCGCATTGAATACAACTTTCGGTTGCAACAAAACGAACAGAAGCACAACAGAAAACAACAACATGAATAACTTTAAAAACGACTTAACATTATAACATATCTAAGAGATTACAACCATCAAAACAATATCCTTTAGTCTAAACATCATAACACGAACATCACAATCAAATTTATCTGACTCCCAAAATCGAGTTGGTTTGCCATTCTCATTCGCACGGTTGAACACCGAAACAAGCTTATCAATTCCTCTAAAATTTCCACCTACTTAAATATCTCTTTTTAACCAACTGATCAAGCTTCTCTCAAAATGGTCGAAAGTCAGAGTGTTCCAAAGTCGAATCTTCATTCAAAGGTTTGAGAATCGAAAAACAAACAACTCATCTCTTTTAATAATCATGTTAGATATTTAAAAGATGAAACGAGAAGATAAAATAAAAAGATGTGTAAAAAATAATAGAGAAAAATACCTGTTTATAAAAATAAAACAGCAATGCACTAAGGCAACAAGGGGGTGACATGCTCTTAATCCACGAAAGCATGCATCAATGACATTGGTATGTTGATAATGCATGCGCAGGTTAAACTGACGCCAGTAAGCAAATTTGAATGTATGCGCTAGTAACAATAGCACAATCTTGTGTGAAATATTTTTTTAAAACAAAAATATTTTGATGAACAATTTGAAATATTGGTTATTTAAATATTTAATTAAAAAAAACATAGTTATTTAGGAAAAAAATCCCCAAATTTTAAATAAAATCAATTTTCATTATTTAAATAAAATAGAGAAACATAAAACACAAATAACCTTTTACTCCATTTTTTTTATCACCGTGAGTCGTGATTGAATCTGAATCACAAAAATTAATCAAAAAGAATGCATGGATAACACGAGGAAACGTGTAATGTAGCAGACAACATTTACTTCAACAACTTCCCCTCTCTATTTCTATATCTGCTACGCTTCAGTCTGTAAATACATGCATCCATTTATACTGTATTATTAAATTTTTTTGCTAGTATAATAAAATAAATTTAAATATATTTTGTTTATAAATATAAACGTATCCTTCATACATTTATGAGAACGAAATTTTTTCTAGTGTTAACAAGAAAAATCGTTGCTCTTCAGTCTATTGTATGATGGAGAGTGATAGCCAAACCCACCCTCTCCTCACACCGTTAAACAACTCACAACAAGATCAAACCAACACAACTGCAGTTTTCACCGCCAAATCCGATGATATTCCTCCGATCACCGGCGCCGATACCTTCGCCAGAGAGTTCCTCAATGAGTCGAAGAAGCTCTGGTACCTTGCCGGCCCCGCGATCTTCACCTCCATCTCTCAATACTCTCTCGGCGCTGTTACTCAAGTCTTCGCCGGTCAAGTCGGTACTCTCCAACTCGCCGCCGTCTCTATTGAAAACTCCGTCATCGCCGGTTTCTGCTTAGGCATCACGGTAACATCGAAACTAATCCCAAACTAATTCGTTTTTTTTTTATATATATTTCGAATATTAATTTCATATTTTTAGCTTCATTTTTATTTTAATTATTTTTTATTTTATTTATTCTGTTTTCTCTGTTAGACCGAAAACCGAAAATGATAAGCACGTGAAGACAATTTGTTTAAAGTTGAAATTAATCTTTTCAAAAGTTGAACAGCGCATCCATCAGACACTTTTTGTTTAAATAATTTAAATCCAAAACCAGTACCAAACAAATGGAGTAGTTTATTTGTATCTATTTTTTTTTGGTCATTTTCGTTTTATTTTATATTTTTAAATAGTATTATTTAGATTAAAAAATAATATTAATATTAAAATTTGGAGAAAGAACTGAATTCTATTATTTTTCAGTTATGGAGGAAGAACTGAATTCTGTTATTTTTCAGTTAGGGATGGGAAGCGCGTTAGAGACACTATGTGGACAAGCTTTTGGAGCAGGAAAACTTGATATGTTAGGAATATACATGCAAAGATCGTGGTTAATTCTAAACGCCACCGCGATTATTTTAAGTCTTCTTTACATTTTCGCTGAGCCTCTTCTAAAACTTATAGGCCAAACAACGGCGATATCAGAGGCTGCGGGACTTTTCACAATATGGATGATTCCTCAGCTGTTCGCTTACGCGATGAATTTTCCGGTTCAGAAGTTTTTGCAAGCGCAGAGTAAGATAATGGCTATGGCGTGGATTTCTGCGGCGGCGTTGGTGGGACACACGTTTTTGAGTTGGTTTCTTATGTTGCATTTGGGGTGGGGACTGGTGGGTGCGGCGGTGGTGCTTAATTCTTCTTGGTGGTTTATTGTGGTGGCGCAAATTGTTTATGTTTTGAGTGGTTCGTGTGGTGAAGCGTGGAGTGGATTTTCTTTTCAAGCTTTTCAGAATCTTTGGGGTTTTGTTCGTCTCTCACTTGCCTCTGCTGTTATGTTATGGTTTGTTTGTTCACTTTTAACTTTCTCTAAAGTTTGTATTAGTACTGTACTATTTTGTGTTATTAACTAGTTAAAAACCTGTGCATTCTCGCTCTATATAGTATAGACGATAAAGATTTTTGATGTTTTGGTTGTTGATGTTGTTCTGCAGTCTTGAAGTGTGGTATTTTATGGCATTGATTCTATTTGCTGGATATTTAGAGAACGCAGAGGTTTCAGTGGATGCATTGTCTATATGGTGAGTCTATTATTTATCAATCATACTACTCTTGTGGTGGTGACCACCCTTCTTTCTAAATGGTGACAATAACCACTCCCTAATTAAATATTCCATCATTCATACCACTAGGTAGATATCAATGTCACTAGCTAATTTAGTTATACAGAACACCAAAGCTATGGCCTGGAAATTGCCACGTCCAGTCTCATTTATGAATTAAACCCAAAGAGTAGTTAATGGTAATCCCTCCATCCATGTCATTATAGACAATTGACTGATACCACACATTTTACCTACTCTTAAATATAAAATAAACCTACTAGTATACTATTACTACTATTAGTATTGTCCTCCTCCCTCAATTAAGTATAAATAAATAAAAGTAACGATAACTTGTGCCTTTGGTACATGTTAAAAAATTTTAAAATAATTTTTTTTTATAAAAAAGAATAATAAAATTAGTTGTATTAAATTTATTACACAATTTTTAAAAACTTTTTTTTATATTTATCTCATAACTTGTGTAAATTGGGCACAAATTATCATTACCCATAAATAAAAATTCTAATAATATAATAAAATAATCTGAATAAGGACTTTTTGGTCTATCTTTTGAAGAAGTTTTATAGAAAAATGTAAAAAATAAATTTAATTGGTTTTAGAAAGATATATTTAATCGGTTTTAGAAAACTGTAAAAAATAAAATCAATTTGTATTAATTTTTTTAATAAAAAAACTATATTTTTTAAAAATATAATTTGGTTTTAAAATTGAGTATTTTTACTTATAAATTGGCATATAGGGAAATAATACCATTTCATTTTCATTAAAAAGTTTTTATAGTACAAATAACGCATTTATATATTCGAATAATTATTCATTCAAGTAATTTATAAATATTAATTAGGAATTTACTTGTTAAAGATGCAATAAAGTAATCTAAAAATTCTGAATAAGATATATTTACAATTTTTTTGAAATGAGTTCATCTCTAGAGTAGAATAAAAGTAAAGACTAATTCTCATAAAAAAAAGAAAAAAGTAAAGACTAATGAAATGTAATAATGAATATAACAGACAGAATTAAATGCTAAAAGTATTTTGTCTATGTATTTTAACAGAGTTATAAATTAAATAAAAAAATAATAATAAATGTTAGTTAGTATTTAAATATAATATTTTTTTGAGACGAGACAATAACTGTTACACTTTTATAAAATTGAATCAGAATAATAGTTCCTAATCTTATCCATGTGATTTAATAATTAAATGTTTTCAACATTTTCCTCATCAATATACACCATTTAACATATTTTTATTATTAAATTATAATTAAAATCAATTCAACTAATTATAAATTATAAAAAGTCTGTTACCTTTATTCATTCATGTGATAGGGCGGTGCTATAGACCGCATCTGGTTCTCCACTTTTTTAATTTTCTACCGAACACGACAAATTAGCTGGACTTTTGTGACTACAACATTGTGACATTCTTTATGCAATCTTTAGAGCAATTTTGATGAAGGTTGCTAGTTATTGTCACAGAAAAATTAAAGATAGTTTATACACAATGGCGATAAAAATAAATTTATTCTTATAACAAAATTTCTACAATATAAATAAATTTAGACCTAAAAGTAATTGTGCAGGCTTTGTTCCAACCAAAAGTTGAACCAGAGTTGGCTACAATAACTCATCCACTTTAGCCGTACCATAAACATTACCTTTCCAACTTTCTAGAAATTGTTTGTACTTCAAATATTCCATCTAAAAATGATCAAATATCATAAACTAGTCTTATAATTAGATTTTGCTATACAAAGTCACCATCCTAACTATGGAACAAAACTAGATAGAAGACAATTATATGCAAACTCTCACCATACTCATATTAGAAGAAATAAATTTACTAGTAGATAAAAGTCATTTTAAATCGAGTTGAATAAACTTCCTTCAGTTCTATTTATAAAAGAAAAAAATTATTTTTTTAAATCGAGTGGAATAAACTTCCTTCAATTCTATTTATAAGAAAAAAATCATTTTTTTTAAATTTATTGGCTGATAATGATATAAACTGTATCAAGTATCATACACTAGGTATATTAAATATTTAATGAATCTAAAAAAAGTTATTTTTTTCTTATAAATAAGACAATAGGGAGTAACTTAAAATGTTATGTTAAGTTTGTCACTTAAACATTGATTCGTTGAGATAAGAGTTTAATGTTGATTTTGCAGTTCAAATATATTGGGATGGACTGTCATGGCATCCTTTGGCATGAACGCGGCAGTAAGGTTTGTTTCATTTTTTGTTCATAATGGAACTGCCTATGAGTTTGATTAATCATAATTTGAATTGTAATCACAACAATGCAGTGTGAGAGTATCAAATGAATTGGGGGCATCTCATCCAAGAGCAGCAAAATTCTCACTTACGGTTGCTGTGATTTCTTCATTTTTGATTGGTCTAATTCTTTCAATGATTTTGATAATCTTCCGGGAACAATATCCTATATTGTTTTCAAATGATCCAGAAGTAAGAAAGGCAGTGATTGAGCTAACACCAATGTTGGCATTATGCATTGTCATCAACAACATTCAACCTGTTCTTTCAGGAGTTGCCATTGGTGCTGGGTGGCAAGCAGTTGTTGCTTATGTCAATATTGCTTGTTACTATCTCTTTGGTATTCCTTTGGGACTCTTCTTTGGGTTCTTTCTTGACTTTGGTGTCTTGGTAAGCTTTTTGTTTTTCTTTGTTCTATGTAGCACCAACACATCTGAAAAATGTGTATGTGTCTGTAACGATGTCGGTGCTTCATAATCCACCTCTTTTATAACTTCTTAATGGATTATTAACTCTTTTATGGTGGATGCATGATTTCCAGGGGATCTGGTCTGGAATGTTAACAGGGACGGTTCTACAAACTCTTGTCTTATTCTACATGGTCTATAGAACTGACTGGAATAATGAGGTAAAAAGTTACACATATTGCCAACAAAACTAAACCAATTGCATTATATTGTTATTGAAGATGTAAGTATATTTATTATAGACTAATTTTTGTTTTATAAAATGGCAGGCATCACTTGCGGAAGAAAGGATAAGCAAGTGGGGCGGACTTGATTTGAAGATGAACGATAATGGAGAGAATGGTCAAACAATTGAAACTTCTGCAAATTCTCGAAGCTAATTAGTGTCTATGATATAATAGAGTTTCTACAAAAAATAGATAATTTTGCACATTGTGGAGCAGCTAATATGGATTCACATTGCTTTAGTGATTGCAGTTACCTCAAAACATCTCAGCATTTATTTGTTTAGTGTTTATTATTTTGGAAAGTTTGAAATTTTGTGAAGGCCAAATATTATATTGGAATATGTTTCTTAATTTGGCGGTCTTTGTTTGTAAAATCTTAGTGCGATTGTGATTGTGATGCGTTGCAACTTGCATGTGGTTTTGATGGTTTGTGTATGACGTATTTGAAAAGCTCGAAATGCCGGTAGTTTTCAACATCTCAATGAGTAAAATTTATTAGATTGGCAACTTGATGATAGCTCAAAACAAATGTTACTAGAAGTCAATGGTTTGAGTTTTATGGTGATGACATTTAACATGGAAAAGATTTTTGCTTCATGGCTTAGCCTATTAAAAATTGTTCATATATAACAAAAATTAAGGGTCAAGCTACCAGAGCACTCTTTAAAGATTTTAAATAAATAAAATATTTTTTTAAATAAATTAATTATTTCAACTTTCTAATGAATTGAATATGGGATGGTGTTTTGGATAGAAAACTATATAGTATTTGTCATTATATCCTAAAAAAATTATTCAATCTCATATCTACCGCACCGATATTTCGTAGAATCCCATATCTAGGTGCACCAATATTTATATTTGTATGTACTTTATGAATAATTAAGTGTCCATATCATTTTCAATTATCCATATTTTTAATAAAAAATTATCAATTTATTATAAATTATCATATAATTTTAATTTTTTATAATATTAAAAAAAGTTTAAATATATTGTTGAGTTAAGAAATAAACTACCATACATCTGTAATGATAAATATAAAAATATTTAAATATATATAGTGTGAGTATGGAGTGAGGTGAGTACTAAGATACTCGTATCTTTGTTCATACTCATTTATTTTAGTGGATAATTACTCGTGTCTATGTCTGTATCTATTTTGCGGATTTTTAACCTATTTATTGTATATAATTTTTGTTGATATCAACAGAAAATGAGATGATGAGTCAATTGACATTCCTAATTAAAAATAATATTGTCAATAAAAACATACTACTTTTAAACCAATTTATTATAAACAAAAAATAAATATTTCATGCTTATTAAGAAAGCTTAAATTTTTGTGTCTTTTTAAATGTATTTTTTGGAAAGATGTATAAACAATTCTGATTAGTGGTTGGTTGTTTATAGAAAAATGAGAGGGAAAACAAATTAAATACAATTTGTATTTAACTTTATTTTGAAAAAGATAATTTTTTAGAATAAAATGGTTAAATAAAATAAATTTAATATTTTTTTCTTATAATTTATTACAAGAAGAATGTGTTGAATACACGAATTTCTAACAAAAACATACATTTTTAGAATTTCCCTACAGAATTCAACACATTTAATAAATTTAATCAATACTATAATGCAAGATTTTAACTTTAAATTGTTATCCTCTAAATTATACTTAGCATCCACCATATTTTCATATTGCCAAAACTGTCCTTGGTTGAAAATAAATAAAATTTCTGAACGAAATTTTCAATAGGTTAAACAAAAATTTCGGTACAATTCAAAATTTACAATAGTGTATATTAGTTGATTATTGGAAATTTCAATTGTAAGTGAAATTTTCTGTAGTTCATATTCAATGAAAAAATTAACACTATTGGAAAATTCAAAATTTTTGATAATGTATTAGAAATTTTAAAATTTCGGATAAAGTTAAATAAAATTTTAAAATTTTGAAATTGTTTTTTGAAATTTTCGATATTCTTAAAATAAAATTCCAAAATTTTTCATTTTTTACGAAAATTTTTGTAACCAGTAAAAAATGGAAAACTTTAAAATTCTAATATATACAACAAATTTCTAGTTAAAATAGGTAAATTTCAAAAAAAATGATTTTTTAAAATGAAAGTGTAATGGTAAAAGTGCTATACATTAGAGATATCAAATACAAGTGAGGGGATGCTTCTATAATGCATGTGCTTTTTTTCTTTAATATTGTTGATATCAGTCAAAGAGAAAATGTTTTATCTCTATGCTACTTAAGGATCTAAAACAAAAGAAAAAGAACAATAACTCATGTTTTACATAGAATTAACTAGATTTGATAAAATGGGTTCGGCTCGTCGGTTATATCTGTTGTATCCACACTTTAATGTGAGATGAATTAAGGGTTTATATTTTCATCATTTAATATGTCGGTCTTTTTCTGTTTTATTTTTTTGCAGAGGATTAGAGAAATACTATTTATATAAATTTATATTTTTAGACTTAAAATATGAATCACTTTTCTGTGAAACGGATTTAGATTTTAAACTGGCATATTCAATTATACTATTTTAATTGTTTTGTAAAATTTTACAAAACGAGTCTAAATAAAACCGGCATAGCGCATTTACCATATCTAAAATTAACGACCATGAAAAAGATGATAAATGCAAAGCTTTAAAAAGAAAATTTGAAAATTGGAACGAGAAAAGAGTAGTGAGAGGTAATTCAAAGACACTCTTCACAAATTCAAGTTCAGCATTTCCATAATCAAGTTAAGTGGGTGGATTTTCATCATCTAATTCAAAATCATTCTTGGTTTTACAAAAATAAAGCCAACTAGAACAATTGTTTACATTAATTGATTTATTATTCGTTTATGAAATGTAAAAATTGGTTCTTTAACACTATTTGCTGAAACTTCAAAGAGAAAAACTTTCTTTCTCTTCGACTCTTTTAATTCTAATATATGGACTTGTTTCAAACATTGATGATGCTACATTATTTTAGAAAAAAAGTCAATTTCTATTACTTGTCCTAAATTTTAAAATAAGTGCATTACTGACATTTATTTAATTTAAAATCATAGTAAATGACGTCTCTATTTCTTCTAGAAATAAAAGAATATCAACATGTGGTCTAGGATGAAGCGGAAATCAATCGATCTGCATGGCCAGGTGATCTGATGTAGGAACCACAAATAAATTCGGATTCGCTCGCACCCACTCGGATCCTTCTTAAAATTAATGAAAAAAATTAGATTTAATTGAGTGTGGATGTGAAAAAAATCTAATTCTTAATTACGGATGTGAATGTGGATAGGAAAAGATACCTAAACCAGCCCGTACACGCTCTCGCCCTACACCCGAATAATGTATTTTTCTTTAATTTATTTATTTTAATTATTTTAATATTTATTTATTAATTATAAGCATTTTATTTTAATTCATTTATTTTAGTTATTTTAATATTTATTTATTAATTATATTATTAATCTTTTTATTGTAATTAAAATAATCAAATTGATATTTATTTATTTATTACATTTTTAATTAAGTAATTAATTTATTTATTAAAATAATCAATTTTTAAAATTAAATTATTATTTTTATAACAATTATAAATTAATTAATTTTTTGCGCGTCGGGTAGGGCGGATGTGTGTGCACCTGTTTTTCATTGAAAACAGGTCTGAAGAGTAAATTTTTATCTCTAATTGAGTTAGGAGAAAGAGATATGTGTTATATGAAGAACGATACGGATGCGAGAATAGTTAAACTCGTCCTCCATCATTGCTCTCTTTAATTCGATGATTTTTGAATTTTGTTAATGAAATGAAATTTTCCCTTAAATAATGTAGCATCAATGTATTGATCTAGTGGTAGTTTTATAGACTCTTGGCTTCGCATCCACATCCATTCTATTCAAATGGGTAATATAAATGAGTCCCATTTAACTTAATATATATATTTTTTATAAGCAACATAATTATATTTATTAAATATTTATAACACTCATTTAAAACTTTAACTGAGATTCATTAGTCTCACAATATACTCCAAATTTATATGTTTTTTATGTAAAAAGTGAAAAATATTAGTTTTATAAATAATTATCCATTTCTATAGTGGTGATTTTCTGCCGCAACGATACTCCAATTAAATTTAAATAATATTATTTTTTAACACATGTGACTTTGGAATTGTTAAGACACCTATGTAGATGTTCTTAGAAATTGGATTTATGAATCTTTGTCGTTTTTTAATTGGTTAATATAAGTGCAAGCGTATAATTATATAACTTCATAAAAAAAAACATATTTATAAAAGAAAATTAATTTTTTTAATTAATTGATAATTAATGTATTTAATCAATGTATTTGATATATTATAATTTAAATATATTGGTTATTAAAACTATTTTAAAAATAATTTTTTTTCTTATAAATAACATCATAAAAAGTTTCAATTTCACAAGGCTTGTGTTGAGTTATGGTTTAATTATTCCGAACAATTAAAAAAATAATTGATTATATTAATAGTGAAAATAACAATAATATCAAAGTTTTGGGATAAGGATTTCTAACAATGACATACCTATATTTCAATTATTCTCCTCCAGTAATGGGTACAAATTGTTTAAATATTGAGCATCATTTATTATAACTTAATTTTCTCTTAGAGGAAGAAATTCTCTTTTTGTTCTTTCACTTAATTTTATAGGTCAGATAATTGGTATTTAACTTTTGATCTTTCAATCGATTAAGATTATTCAAATTATATAATAAGATTAATTATTATATACTGTCGGTATAAAAAGTTTTATATCATCAATTCATTATTATTATTTGTTTGCCTTACTTTATACGTGATTAAAATAAAAATCAAACTCTTCTAAATATTCAATGGTTATGATTAAGTGACCGTATAAAATTATTTTACACTGAAAGTGTATTTTAATTAAATTCTTATATAAAAATGAAATATAATAAAACTAAATTAAAGGATTTTATCCAACAAATGAAATATAAAAGGTCTATGATTGAAATCCCCAATGTCCTAAGATAGAAAACTACTCAACTATTATTAAAAGTAAAACTAAATAAGTAGAAAAAATATCATATAAAGGAATAATGATAAATAACTGGAAAAAAATCGAGTACATTAA